GATTTTACAAGTTTTTATCTAAACTTGTTTGCTACTCTAGATTATAATTATAATCTTTGAGACAAAGGATCAATAAATGAATAAATAAAAATAAGAGATAAAATACATGTGATAAATTAAATGATAATACAAATGATGAAATAAAATGAAAAGATAAAATATATGTTCTAAAAAGAAAAGATAAATAATAAAAATAAATGAAATTCATTGCTGAACCATTTTTAAAGCATTTCTGAACCATTATTAAATCATTTGTGAACTGTTATTGATTTTGGAACTAATTATTCATTGATGATCTTAGAATATTGCAAAAATATTATAAAAATATTACAAAAATATTGTTGAATTGTAACTAAATCCATAACTAATACACCAATTATATTATTTGAAATCACATGTTTTCTAAAGATCAATTGATTGGTTGAATTTTTCATATTTGAAAAATTATGAAATTAAAGAAATTTATATTACTACAGTAATAGTATAGCTATTACTAAAAATTTTTTGATGATAATGAGAAAAAAAATTAGTGACAAAATTCTTATTAAATTTTATAATTTTGAGTTTATAAAAAGCTTTCTAGATATCTGTTATCAAAGTCACTAAAGTTATCAAAAAAAATTGAACTTCTCCAGCTTTTTTTTTTTTCTTTTTTTATTATGAATATATCACATATGTATCATATGTATATACTATAAGTATAGAGTTTATGAGTATATATGTATTGATAATATATATATGTATTAAATATACCATAAGGTAAAGTTTTATTTTTTCTTAGATTCTTACTTTATTTTTAGTGATTTTGGTGACAGTATATAAGAATAAGATAAAAAAGAATTTAAAACCAAAATTTAATAATAAATCTATTATTAAAGTTATTACTAAAGTTATCACCAAAGATTTTTTGGTAACAGATAACATTGCCAGATAGCATATACTGATAACATATATATAACATGATCAGTTTACATCACTCACCTTTTTACATATATTATGAATAAAATTGAGTTAGATAACATATTATTAATATGAGTGAATTGAGACATTTTTCTAATGCTAACTAGTATCAAAAATTCTGACAAATAAAATTAGCATACTTTAATATATCAAATAAATTATATGAAGCTAATAATTATTAATAATTTGGCACTACGTGTCTCATCATTAGAAACTTTGGTAAGAAGATGTGTTAAAAAAAGCAAATCAGTCATCATTCTCAGTACAGACTATAATCAACCCAAAGATATGTTGAAAAAAGCAAATTAGTTGTCATTCTCAGTGCAAACTATAACCAACCTGAAGATGTGTCAAAAAAAGTAAATCAGTCATCATCTTTAGATGGGTTATAATCCATATTAAGTAATTATAGTCTGTACAGACTATAATTATACCACTTATTTTATTTTAGACAAACTCAACTTAAAAAAGATTGAACTTGTTCAATTCAAAATTAAACACTATTATATTAAGAATATATTAATTTTGATTAATTTAACAATATAAAAAAGTGAAACCTACAGAAAATAAATGAAAAATACTAATAAAGATATTAATAACTATAATTTTAATTTTAATTTTAATCTTCTAATTTTTAGTATTTTATTATTAATTACTTTTTGAAATTAACAAAATTGATTCAGAATATATTTAAAAGTATTGGATAAATTAGAATAAATTAATTTTAATATTGTTATGAAATAAAAATTTCTAATTGATTTAGAGTACTTTTTGGCCGATTTGAATTGGTCAAAGTCACTTAAATCTTTACTACGAGATCGTATAAATAGTTTTTTTTGAAGAGCGCAAATAAATTTCAAGTTCTAAATGCGGAATCAAAGTCGAATAATCAGGTGAGGTAAGACGTCTGGCGTTTCAAATCGAATGCTTAGGATAGTAATAATTCGTACCTTGCGATTTGATTGGTTTACCCTTAAAGTACAAATCAAAATCAAAACAAATAGATAATAATAATATTCTATATATTAAAACTAAAAAAAAAACCAAGAAAAAAAACTAAAGATGTGTTTCGGTTGGTTCGTGTGTTAATGATGATGTTGCGGATGATGATAATGCAGAACCTTGATTGAAATTTGCAGGTTTAGGAATTAAACCTAAAAAAAAATGATAAGCATTTAATAATATAATTTGAAATTTTTGACACAAATAATTCGAATTATGTATTTACCAAGTGTTTTAAACATTTCCTGGTCGGCATCATAGTCATTATTTGAGGTAGTCAATAGTTTATCGCCAGTGAATATAGAATTTGCCCCGGCAAGAAAACATAAAGCCTAAAGATTATTTACGCAGGAATGAGAAAATGAACTAATAAAATAGTCGACATTAACAATTTTTTTGTTTTTATACCTGTTCTGGTTCTGAAAATCTTATACGCCCAGCGGAAAGTCTCACCATTGATCTAGGCATGACAATTCTTGCTGTAGAAATCATGCGAATCATTTCCCATATTGAAACAGGCTGCATTGGAAATCATTAAATATTAAAAAATCAAGGTAGAAAAGAAAGTTATAATCAAACCATCTTAACAAATCAAAATCTACACAATACGAACCTCCTGTTTCCCAAGTGGAGTACCTTCAACAGCGACCAATGCGTTAATCGGTACACTTTCAGGATGTTCAGGCATGGTAGCCAAGGTATGCAACATACCGACACGGTCATCCGGGGTCTCGCCTAACCCGATTATTCCGCCCGAACAGACAGATATTCCAGCGTCTCGAACATTAGATATTGTGTTGAGACGTTCGTCGTATGAACGAGTGGTTATAATCTATGTAATCGACGCGTTTTTAATGAAATGTGTATAATATGACTTTATAATATAGATAGATATGTAAATACTTTAGGATAATATTCTCGCGATGTATCCAGGTTATGATTATATGCGGTAAGTCCAGCCTCTTTTAACATTTTAGCTTGTTCTTCGTTAAGCATGCCTAATGTACAGCATACTTCCATATTCATAGCTCTACACCAAAAAAAGGAACGATATTTGACAAATCAATTGTTTGTTGATTTAAAATTAACCATATGAAATTGCAGCACTACCTACTTAATTTCCTTTACATAACTCAAAATCTTTTTGAAATTAGATTTCCGACCAGCAAGATCTCGCCACGCAGCACCCATACAAAATCTAAATTTAAAAAAACGCGTAAATAACGAACTCGAGCATACCTACCAGAAATTTTTTTTATCTTTAGCGCCTTAATAATATACCGTGTACTACCCGCTTCCTTTGCCTTTCTCGCTGCTACCAAAACCTCGTCAGTTTCCAAAAGCTTTTGTGCTTTGACAACTGTTTTGTATCGCGAAGACTGTGGACAGTATGCACAATCTTCACTACAGCCACCTGTTTTTATGCTGAGTAGCGTGCATTGCTGTACTTCAAGCGGACTGAAATTTTCGCGGTGAACTTTAGCCTGTTTTTTTATGTTTTATTAAACGTTAGTCATATATTACGCGCGTATGGCAAAAAAGAAATTTTTCCCATTAGAGCAGCGTATTAATAAAGTAATACCCCATAAAACAGCAATTCCATGATAGGAGAATCATAAATTGTCTTTATTTCTTCACGAGTCCAATCGTTTCGTGGTGGTCCGTTAGCAAATATCGCAGCAGAAGAAAGTAGTTGGGGATTTGTTCGGTCTACCGTGTTGTGAGCTATGGCATTACCGACAGAGGCCAGTCTGCGAACAGGCGTTGCCGAATAGAAACGAATTGATAAAGCGGCAAAACATTTTCTCATGTTTGGTGTTATTAGTTTATTGCAGGTAGCCATAGCTTGCTTTGGAGTGTAATATACGAACTAAGGTCGCAGCGAGTATTTAACTATAATTTGTTTCCTTTTTAGCTTGATTTAAAATATATCAATATTAACGTTAATTAATATCGAATGATTTCAAGATTTTGATCGTGCTACCAAAAAACCATTTTACGGGAATTTTTATCACATTTAGGATAATCGAAAATGGGAATGGGTGAAGACACTATTTTTAGTCGCTGATTAAAATTACACAAATATCGACATTAAATATATGATCGAAATTTTAAATCGAAATATCGAAATACAATTCAATAACAATTTGATTTCTATTAATTTTACTAATTTACCAGAATCCTTCTCGACCAACAATATACAATAATGGCAGACGATCTCACACCAATTCCAATCTACGCTGAAACTGATATTGAAGAAACTAGCATGGGTTTTGCTGCCGAGAATGAGGCAGAGACAGAGACAAAACAAACAGAAGCAGAATCTGTTGTCAATGAAACTCGAGAAAACAAAAAAGAAAGTACAGATATCACTTCAGCCTCAAACCCACCAACAGACACCGTAAAAGCCGAACAACCGCAAGATCAAGAACTACAGGATGTAAAAATGGAGGAGACGTCTGAGCTACCGAGTGAAGTTTCTAGTTGGGGTCCACCAGAAGACACTGTGCTTGAGCAACAGCAACAAACTATGACAACAACCATTACTATAACAGCAACAACAACAACAACAACAACAACAGCAGCAAATACTTCAGCTACTGCTGCACCAAAAGATATTGACAAAGAAGAGACGAAGTTGGAAGTAGCTGAAGACAGCAACGGCACGTTAGTTAAGATAGAAAATAATGATAACAACGCAACGCTAACTAAACTAGAAAATGATGAAAAATCAATAACAACAACAAATGATTTACAGAGTCCAGCATATACTTATAGTGACTCGCCGTCTCCGTATGCTCCGCGTACACCAATGGATATATATGAGAATACTGGGCTCACGGAATATCCGTAAATATTGGCAACGTGTTATAGTTTGAGGGATTTAAAGTGAAATTCACGAATTTACTAAATTAATTGAATATTTTTCTAGAGGTCATCAGTTTGCTGGATGTTCTTCAATTGAAGATTATATAATACTCGATAAACTTGGAGAAGGCACCTTTGGGTATATATTGGCTTTTCTATAAATATCGAGATTTTTGGTATATTTTTTTTATATTAATTTATCTTGATTAAAAAATCCCAAAAAAAAGGGAGGTACACAAGGGACAGCATAAAAATACAGGAAAAATTGTCGCGTTGAAAAGAATAATAATGCACAATGAGAAAGAAGGAATCCCAATCACTGCAATACGCGAAATTAAAATACTACGGCAACTTAATCATGCTAACGTGATAAGTTTGAACGACATGGCTATTCAATATGGTATGAATTTGAGATCACTCATTTTGTTTATATCATGTTTGGGGGAAAGAATATTGTATTTTGTTGGTATTGTTTATAACTAAAAAGAGAGTTTAGCGTTTGTTGAATTCTGCTCGAACGACTTTATAATTCCCCTGTTATTTAACGAGAGAAAATTGTGTCTAACTAAATAATTTTTAAAAGCAACGGATGCCGAGTCGACACCATCTATATACATGGTCTTTCCATATATGGATCACGATTTAGCCGGGTTACTGGAAAATCCAAATGTGAAATTTTCTCAACCGCAGATAAAATGTTATCTGAAACAGCTTTTGGAGGGAACATTTTATTTGCATCAGCAACGTATATTACATCGTGATTTGAAAGGTTTTCATATTTTTTTTGTTTTCATATTTTTTTTGTTTTCCATTTGAAATCGCATTATACGCTTTTTGTTATTCGTATGTATATTGGAAATATTAATTTGAAAAAAATTTGGAATAATTAGCTGCCAATCTATTGATCAATAATCAAGGAATACTAAAAATCGCAGATTTTGGTTTATCGCGGCCCATGATCGAAAAATCACTGACAGGTTGTGTTGTCACACGATGGTATCGGCCACCTGAATTATTGCTCGGTGAACGACGGTATAATACAGCAATAGATATGTGGGCAGTAGGGTATTTATTCTAGTATTTTTTTACTTTTAATTGCACTTTTCTATTCTCGCGTTTAAGTCGTTATTTCTAATGAATTAAAATAGTTACTAATTAATCAATTTAAATATAGTTGTGTATTTGCAGAGATGTTGCGAGGAGCACCAATTCTCCCAGGTCGTTCAGATATGGATCAACTAGATCTTATATTCAAGTTATGTGGATCGCCGAATGAAAAGTCGATGCCTGGGTGGCAGAAACTTCCCGGATGTAGAGATCTAAAGCCTGCTATTGTGTATGAGCGGAAGGTTGTTAGTGAATATCAAAAGTATGTAATAATTAATATAATTATAAATTTCTTAATTTATCAATCTCATAATAATATCCTTGAACTATTATAGATATGGGACACAGGCCGCTGATTTGCTCGATAAGCTACTAGTTCTCAATCCTGCTAAACGTTTAACAGCTTTTGGTGCACTTGACCATGACTATTTCTGGACTGATCCAATGCCTTCGGACCCGAAAGAGTAAGTAAACCTCCATTCGAATTCTTATTATGTATACATGAACATACTAATCACTAAATTATTTCATTAGTCTTCCCACATATGAAGACTCTCATGAATATGACCGAAGAAAACACAAACATGAAGATGGTCGACGATCATCATACGTTGACCAAGAGTCTGATCATTCCCGTGTACGTAAAGATCGAAATAACCTAAAACGGAATCGATCACGAGATCAAGACCGTAATACTCGAAGAAATCAACGTCCGCGGTATTCACTGCCCGCGAAACCTTCTGCTGCTGGATAGCAGAAATAATATAATGTTTATTTTGTATTTTGCTATATTCATTGGTTGGTTAAAGATCAAATGGCGATAACAGAGTGATATATTATACGATAGCTATCTTTATAATAAATATAGAAATGTGCGACAATCAATATTCATGGTAACACCAGATAATCTAAAAAAAGTAATAAAATGGATTCCTATTTTTCACAACCTCCAGCAGTGTCCGAAGACTGTGTTTATTATTCTTTGTATTTTACGTTTCCCGAGTCTTTTTCTCAAGAGCAAAAAGAACAGGAACAGCAACAATACAAGTATCTTCAAGAGACAAATACAATAATATTATCTGAACTACAACCGTTTCTTAAAAACTATTTGTGGCAAAAAGATCCATTTCAGTTGAGAATTGCTAGGAAGGAAGAAAGAGCAGCAGGTATTGTAATCCGTTTTCATGGTATCCCGTAAATGACAAGTGTGGTTTTGAAGAAATTGGAGGTTTAATGACTTGAATACTGTTAATTTCCCATATAAATCACTTGATTTTAAACAAATTTCAGATCAACTACCATACTATTTCTTAACTGGTCAAACGCGTTTTGGCGATTGCATCGAAGATGAATGGTTTATCGTGTCTTTATTGCAAAAGATCAGCCTGAAATTCAGTGATGTGGTGATTCGGTACGTGTGGTAGTTGGTTGATAGATATGAATTCTGATTATTTGTGGGCTGAATTCAACTTGCTGAGTCGTGTTTTTATTCTAAAATTAATTGGATTTTGGCCTTCATTACTTATTCAGCGTATCAGATAATGATGGCGAGTTTCTACTTATTGAATCGGCGTTGCAGCTTCCGAATTGGTTGGACCCTAGTAACGACCAAAACAGAGTATGTATAAAAATTTTATCCACGAATTACTCGTTATTTAATTGTGTTAATTTATTAGGTCTTCATATACCAAGGAAATCTACACATAATTCCTGTCAATGAGACTTTCAAGAGTAAATTGTGCCTTGAAGAAGGCGCGAATATAGTACGGAATAATCCACAAATAACAAAGGCTGATGAGGCGATACAAAAAATTGTGTTTAGTAGGATAGCAGAGTATGCTTTGCTTTTTTTGAACGTTTCGAGTGAATTTAAGCGAATGAAGAATTTTATTTGTGATGGATAATGTATTTTCTATATTAATACGATGATAGGTATCCACAAAAAGCCACCCAATCTATCCATTATGCTCGTGCTCACATCCCGAAAGCTATTGCTCATATTCTGTATCATAGACCACAGCTTGTCGCCGCTGCCGTTGAAGCATTTTATACGCGTGATCCATTAGCAATGAAAGTAAGTGGAAATTATTTTTTATCGTTTATTTAATTTTTAATTGTTTAATTAGGCTATACTATGCAAAATAACAAAAAAAGGCATGTTACAAAATGGAAAGATTCCCACCATCCACATCCATCACAACAATCGTGAAAATGACCAAAACGCTATATGCACAACTCGTTAACCAACGATTTCATCCGCCAAAGCCGTTTAAATTGCCGACACCATCGGAGAACGCTAAAGCATACAAAGCGGCTGAACTTGGGATGAAATTGGTTTGTTTTATTTTTTATCATCATCATCATCATCGTCGTGATCATATTTTTTGAAAGAACTATTTATATACGGAACTATGGAATAATAATTAAATTAGGCTTGTGGATTCGAAATTTTGTGTAACGATAGCTATTACGCGAATTCAATAGCACCTTTGCGTACTCGAGTATTCGGCAATGTTGAGGTACTTTCTATTTCGTAAAATTTTTAATATAATGAGAAAAAAATATAATACGCGAATTATTAATTTCATTAGACATATCCATTTGACTTGGACCCAGACTGGCACATATATCAAGAGAATCTAATCAAACGCGGATACTATCGAGGCGAATTACCAGGCTCACAATTATACAGAGAGCTTTACGCGTTTGCAAAACAACAGTACCTCAAAGATCGTATCCAAAGGATGTTGTCCAGGTTTGAATGATTTTTTTAGTATTTCTATAATCATTTACGATCACTGTTTTCATTTTGAATTTTATGTCCTTTACGGTTGTTATTAGTCAAGACCAATACGAGCATGAATCTTTGTCTCCACTAGACCAAATAAACGAAATAATGGAATTACCGATGGAATCTGACGAGGTTCTGGCTTCTGTCAATAATGAACGCGAGGACGACGATGCATGGATGAATATCGATTTTCGAGATTTTGAAAGCATGGTCAATACGATGGAAAGAGATATCAAAGAAAATAATAATTTTGATGTTGACGCAAAAGAAGTTCGTATTGTCCATAATCTCGCGTAAAAATATTTAAATATTCTAAAGTAGGCTGTTTTATGCATATCCTAATAGAAAAAGAAGGATGCTGACGAAAACTTTGAGAATATAACATATCTAAATAAAACAGTCGAGGAATTTGAGAAGTTTGTTGATTTTGAGAAACCGGGATTGATGGGCGCAGAATTTTTAGAGTATGTATAAAGGCCACATCAATAATCTAAACTGGCAAAATCAAATTTTTTATTTAATCTTTTTTTAAAAAAAAAGCGAATATTCTTCGGATGAAGATAACAATAACGACTCTGAAGAAGGGGGAAGCTCGATTGATGACTCAGAAGATAAAGATATATCGTTAGATCCGTCGGAATTCTTAAATACATTGAGACGGACACTCGGTAAGCTTATATAGATATGTGAGATATATATATATTTCTTAGCATTAATATTTGTTATTATGATTGTCAGGTATAACCAATGACGAGTATCGAAAAATGGTAAATGATAAGCTCAAAAAGACAAACCAGACGAATCAACGTATGCATCTTTATACATATTAAGCGTCAATTTATCGTTAACGCTTATTAATTTTTAAATTAAACTTAGCCGTTAGCAATCAACCGCCTACAACAATCACCACAACGCCATTATTCAATAGTATTAAACCCGATAACAATAACACTTCATTCATCACCGACACAGAAAAAACAACCACAAGTATAGATGATGACACCAGTATCGAATCATATATGGATGTAATGGACATCGAATTAGCATCCACAAAAGTGGCAAAATCTTTTGTACGAGGTCCAAAAGATGTTCAAAATTATCTTTCAGGATCTAATAAAGACAAAGAAAAAGGTAGAAGTGATAAGAATGAGGAGGAAGATGACGAAACTTTCGCTCCCGTGAATATAGAATTAAACACAGTCACGAATTTACTCGCAAGTTTCAAAGCACAAGGCGGATTGCCTGGGCCAGCGGGAAACATTATGGGGCGACTTGGTGTAAATGTGCTTCCACAAGATGTTGATAGTGACGATGATAGTGATTATGATGATGGATGAATGTAATGTTCTCAGATTTGTGAATTATTTCAGGACTTTTTCTCTAATCTCCTTTAATTTTGATTATTATCATTTACGTTATATTCTCTCTTTTGTACTTTATTTTAACTTTCTTGCTTTCTCTAACTTGTTTTAGAGTTTGATTTTGTAAACAAAATTTTCATTAAATATTAAATTTTTTTAAAACAGTACCAAATTAAGTTAAAAAAATTAAACCTAGTAATTTATTATGTTAAAAATTTGATCTGAAGATATGGATTCAGAATTACAACTATATTCAAAGTGCATTAAGAATTACAAATTTATAAACTATTTTTATATTAAATCTTTTTATTTGAATTAGCTAAATTAATAAAGCTTTAATTCTTATGAAGAATTTTATAATTATAAAAATTAAGACTTAAATTTGAATTCAAGTTGAAATCAAATTAAATGCTAACATTTTGTTCAGTATTAAATAAAATTTTTTTTTTTGATAATAAATTTGAATAAAAATTATTTCCGGTAGTTTACAGTTCACTAGTTCACGCTTCAAGATGTACTGAGCAAACGTTTGGGCGCTCGAGATAAGTGTATATAAGATTTGTGAATGATTCCAGTGGTGAATGACAAATGCAAACTATTCATATTTGAACAGTCATGCAAAGTTTTTACCTGTAAAATAAATATGTATAAATAAAACATCAAAAACTATTTTAGATATCTTCAATAAATATCCCCTTATCGACAAGAAACCGGGAATTATATTTTGTTTTTATAATTCAACCCTATTATTCGAAATCTCAACCAACTCAACATCGAAAACCAAAGCAGCATTTTCTAAAATAAAAATATAAAAAATTCAAAAGTAAAGAAACTGGATTTTCAACAAATAATCCAATGGATGATGAATAAATGAATTGACATGTTATACCAGGAATAATGGGAGGACTTCCTCTCTCTCCATACGCCAAGTCAGAAGGTATGATTAGCTTTCGCTTTTCGCCTATGCACATTCTATTATGTTTATTTTTGAAATTGGAATTAAAGATTGCCAAGAGAGCAAAAACGACAATAAAAATTCGAGCTATAATAATTTATACCCTATTTACTTACCCTCGCAGGCCTTGATCCCAGCCTTCGAAAATTAAATTCAACAATATTTAATATAAACATATTTAAAGTAATAAGAATTTAATAGAATAATGACCTTTAATGACTTGTCCGGTTCCTTTACACGGCGGATCCAATTCAATTACAAAGATAATTATAAAATCATTTGTTAGAAACAAAATTCTCAATGATAACTATAACAATTTTTGTTGAAATTTTTTTTGCGATACCTAATGTAAATGTAAAAGGAGTACCACGATCGATACTAGAATCAAATTTTGTGCCATCTGTAAATAATGTTCCAGTGTAATGGACGGATAAAGAGTCGCTAGTAAAAATCATCATGTTAGGACCATGTGGTTTATTTTATTTTAAAAGCAGATAATTTGATTGTTACCCGTCTTTTGCCCTTTTTGTGCATTTACCATCAGGAATACGATGTTTAACACCTGCGCATTAAAAAGAAATGAATAAATGCCGTTTTTCTAATTGGGACAAAATAACATTTTTATCACCAATTTGCAAATTTTTCGGAGGAGTCTTTGAATCTGCAGACACAAATATTAATATAACTAAGAAAAAAATGAATAAAATCTGTTTGCTCATGTCGAAAATAGTTTATCGTGCCTCAAATAAGAGAAATTTGAATTGAGCAAAGCGAACTTGTAAATTAGTAGTTCACTTAAGAAACGGAACACGAATATCTCGACATTGATGATTATCAATTTTTTAAATTCGACCAGATCAATCAGCAAGCGAAAGCCTTAAAGATAATTATTAAGGCCTTGTGATTTCGCCTTGCAATTTATATAAGACCTTTCCCATATTCAAGACTTCATATTAACAATTTTTATTCCAAGATGCCTCGAATTTCACAAGAAAAATGCACATTCTAAAAGATTGTTTGATATGAGAGATCGCTGCTTCAGACCTTGCTTTGGTTGCAAAAAAGACCGAGTCTTTGATGATCTAGAAAAATTGAACAAAGTAAAACAACTCGGAAAATAATAATAGATAAGTTGTTTAATAATAAAATAAATATTAGTTAATAAATTTATTAATTATATAATTAAGTGCAAAGAATAATAAAAAAATTAATATTAATATTTTTAATTTTTTTACTATTTATATTATTATTTGTAATAGTAATTAAAAAAAATAAGATCAACTTACAGTGACTGCATCAGGAAATCAATTTTTATTAGTAAAAATTGAAGTTTCTCTCTATATTAAAGTTTATAATTTTATTAAGAAATAATATATCAAAATAAATTTCATGTTATAGTTTAACATATAGTTTTTTCAGATTTTTTAGATTTTTTCTAAATAGTTATTTTAATTGCATTTTTTTTAATAATATATATATTAAATTATAATTTATAAATTTTATTTTGATATAAAATAAAAATTATTTCTTAATAAAATTATAAATTTTAATATAGAAAGAAAATTTTAACTTTTATTATAAAATTAATCTTTTATAAATTATTTTTGATTATTATTATATATATAGTGATTCTCATAATTATGAAATTAAAAGATCAATTTTATTAATAAAATATAGTAAAAATTGAAATTTTCTTTTTATATTAAACTTTATAATTTTTATTTTTATATTAAAATAAAGTTCATAAGTTATAGTTTAATATATATTTTTCAGATTTTTTAAATTTTTCTGAAAAAGTTATTCTAATTATAAAATTAATACAAAAATTTTTACTAATTATATTAATTCTAAATTAGATATAAATAAATAAAAATTACTTAATTAATAAAATTAATTAATTTTATATATAATTAGAATAATTTTCTTAAAAAAATTTAAAAAATATATATTAAAATAAAAAATTTTGCTTTAAATTAAAAAATATTATAAAATAAATATATTTATTTTTCTTTAATTAAATTATTTATATATTAAATACTTAATATTTTATTTAATTATAATAATTAAAGAAAATATTCTTATAAATAATAATATAAAAATTTTTTATTTTGATTTTTTTAAATATTTATTTTAATATTAATTAGTTTATAAAATTATAAACTTTTTTTATATTTTAAAAATATAAAAAATATTTTTTTTAAATATATTATTAATAATATATAAAAAAAGTAATAATAAAAATATTCTCTAAAATAGAAAAATTAAATTTATATAAAGTATTTAATATATAAGTATAAAAAAATAAAATTATCTTATATTATTAAGATTATTTTCTTATTTATATAATTTTAATATAAGTATAATAGTAATAACATATTTTAATAAATATAATAAATTAAAATAAATTCAGATTAAAATGAATTTTAAATTTTTTTTATATATATATTATATAATTTTATTTTATTATAATATATAATTTAATATTTATATACTAGTATATAACTTATTATTAATTATATATTATATATAATTAATAATAATATAATAATAAATTTAGTAGAAAAAAAAGTAATTTTTTTCTATATAAATTCTTATTTCTTCTTTTTTTCATTTTTTATTTTTTTTTCTCTTTTCATCATTTATTTAGATATTTTATCTGAATGAATTTTTAATTAATTTATATAATTCTTTAAATTAAATTATTTTTAATAACTTATTTAATTAATTATTTTCTTGATTTTTTTATTCTTTCTTTTTTTTATTTATTATTTTCTATTTATTTAAATATTTTATTTAAATAAATACTTAATTAATTTACATATTTTAGATTAAATTACTTCTTATTTAATTAGTTATTTTTCTAATTACTTTATAAATTCTTGACTAATTTTAAGTCTTTCTATTATTTTTTATATTTTTTATTATAAAATATTATGATATTAATTTTAAAAAATATATTAATTAGTATAACCTTTCTGTTATGTATTGTAATATATTTGGATAATTCACATAAAAAAATTAAAATATAATATTATATCAAGAAAATTCACACAGAAGATTCAAGATATAAGTAATATTATTTGAAATAAAATTCACACAAAAAACTAAATCAAAAACAAACAAGAGATTATATTTAAAACTTATTCTTTATTCTTATGTTAATTGTTATTAAAATTACAGAATAGATATAGCATCTTTAAATAATAAATTAATGTTACATAAAATTAATAATAAGATAAATA